CCAGCTCCTGCTGAAGCGATTTGTATTTTTTTTAAAATTGTTATTATTTATTGGAGACTCTGTGTGTGTGTGTGTGTGTGTGTGTGTGTATGAGCTCCTATCTAATGGTTAACTCCTTAAATGCCTACAGTAGCCAGAATTGGGCTGGGGCCAGAGTCAGTGGCCAATAACTCAATCCAGGTCCCCACAGTAGTGGCAGGGATCCAAGAACTGGAGCCATCACCTGCTGTCTCCCAGGGTCTGCATTGGCAAGAAGGTGGAATCAGAAGCGGAGCCAGGACTCAAACTCAGACACCCTGATATGAAAAGTGAGCATCCCGAGTGGCATCTTGACCCCTGTGACAAATACCCACCTTCCTGTGTGTGATCGTCCAGTCCTAAACTTACACACAGAATCTCTTGAAAGGGTCAATGACCTTCACTGCAGGTCTCATAGCCCAAACAAGATTTCTACGAAGCATTTAGTAATTCACTACTCAAATTTTCCCAGGAGAAACAGCTCATATGGGTGACGCATGTAACTGTTATGAGTCCACAACAGGGGCCCACTGCACCCCAGGCTCCTCTTCTCTGGGGCACGATCACCAGCCTCTTACCCGTGGCCATCATGGGTTAGGTGTGGGGAAAAGCACCTCCGGGGTGAGACCCAGGAGCACTACAAGGGCAGGCAGAGCACCAGCAACAGGGACTGGGAGCGCAGCGCAGCTCTGCAGCTCTTACCTTAAATGCAGGGCTTACTTGCCCAAGACAAGAGGACGAGGGAGACCCAGTAGCAGACGGGATGGCCACACCACAGCCACGGTGGGGGAACACTCAGTGTCTTTCTGCTATGTTACATTTTTCACTCCCCTCAGTAGGCCTCTGACCATCGACCATGTGCAGACTCTCCAGGGGCTTTGGGGGCTACAGCTGGTAAACCAGGAACTTTCTGATCTACTGCCTTTTTCTAACCCAAGCACAGCTATTGCTGTAGTAGGCTAGGTAGATGGAACCTTCCAGGAGTGGGCATCTCTGGGCCTCAAAGAAGCTACCAAGAGGACAGAGGCTGTAACCCCGTTTAAGAATAGACTTGGTGCCTCCCTCCAGGAAACTCAGGCACCAGCCCCAGAGTCACTGGTGCAGGAGACAGAGCCCGGCCATGATCCCTGGGGACACTGGCTAACCACAGAGTCCCCTGCCAGGCTGGAGCCCAATGCCAGGAGCACAACCTGGGCCCCCAGCACGAAGCCTGCCTGCAAGCCCTGGAGTGGTGAGACGGTAACTGTGAGAGCACCAGGTCCAGGCTGCCCCTCCGGTGTGAAGTCAGAGCTGCATCACCAAACCTGAGCAGGGTGGCAGATCCATAGCATAGACATTATCAAACCTGCGTGGGCTGGGTGGTTGGAACTGGAAAGGGCCCCCAAGGCAACAGACTCCAATGTCCTCACTCTATAGGAGCCAGAGCCAGGGGTGATCATCATGCACACCTCGCCTCCCCCAATCCCAAATCAGAAGACCCTCTCCAGCAAAACCCCAAGGAGAGACAGCAAGGAACATTGGGAGCGGGAGAGGCCTTTGGGTCTCTGTAGGTTTGAGGTGCAAAGAAAGACATTCTGAAAACATCCCCATGCCCCTTTAAGGGCTGTTAATGATTACAGTCAGGACAGCCCCCAACTGGCCACTGGACCCAGCTGTGCCAGTGTCTGGAAGGATTAGAGGAGTCTCCCCCAGTACCACATCAGGCTCCAAATCGCCCGGGAGGAAGCACGGCTGGGAAGAAAGCCACACGGGTGGAGAAGCAGGGAGGAGAGACACCAACTTTAGAACGTCTCGAAGAGGATTCGTGCAGCACAAAAAGACCAGACTGCAGCCACAGGGGCCAGAGAAGTCAGGAAACCCTGCGGCAGCAGCCAGCCCAGCGGGAGACCGCCAGCCAGTGGGTCACACTGGAATGGAGGGGGTGGAGGTTTAAATTTAGCCAGGTAAACAGAGCTGGCAGGGGTGGGGCGGCCGGCCTGGCAGGGCAGAGAGGAGCAGAGCAATCACCTGCTCTGGGGAGCCCAGGGAAAAGTCCAGTGAAATCCAGCCAGGACAGAACCAGACAGCGGAGGGGCAGGAGATGCACGGGAGGCCGTTTTGACTTCCACAGGGGGCTCAGAGGAAAAACTACCCGGCCTTTCGTCTTTAGCACAGTATCCACGCCTAAGCCCTCTGCTGGACTTTTCTGGATTCCTGGATACAGGTGCAGACGCTGAGCAGAAGCCGCCCAAGGACGCCCTTGAGTGAGCTCCCCAGTGCTCTCATCACTGGGGGACTTGTTTGTCTATTGCTGGTTGAGGTCCTGGGAGACCAGAGGGAGTTACAAAAGCCACCACCAACTACCACCACAGCTGAAAGCACTGGGGGTGGCGCTCAGGTGGATTCTGCAGGCCTGCTGAGAAGATGAAGGAGCCAGGGAGAACAAAATGTCTATCATGGGCGAGAAAGCTTTTATGGACTGCCTGCCTTCCATCTCAGAGCGATGAAGATGACTCTGTGTACACTTGTCCCTCTGTGCCACAGCTGCCAGGCTGGGGCAGTCCTGGACCCAGCAGAACTATCCTGGAAGCACACCCTAGAGCAGACCCTTGTGGTTCTCTGCCCTTAAGAAACACAGCAGGGGCCAGCGCTGTGGCGTAGCAGGGGAAGGCCGCTGCCTGCAGTGCCAGCATCCCATATGGTCACTGGTTCGAGACCCAGCTGCTCCACTTCTGATCCAGCTCTCTACTATGATCTGGGAAAGCAGTGGAAGATGGCCCAACTGCTTGGGCCCCTGCACGCACGTGGGAGACCCAGAAGAAGCTCCTGGCTTCAGATCTGCCCAGCTCTGGATGTTGAGGTCATCTGGGGAGTGAACCAGCGGATGGAAGCTCTCTCTCTGCCTCTCCTCTCTGTAACTCTGCCTTTCAAGTAGATAAATAAATTCTAAAAGCAGCAGCAGCAGCAGCAGCACAGCTAATGGAACACCTTCACTGAAGCAAGAGGAGGGGAACACACAGCTGAGGGACAACTCCAGATTTTTCCTTTCCACAACACTTGGCTCCCAGCAATTTGGGGCATAGCCTTTTAATTTACACTTTTCACATGGAAGAAAATTTTAGAAGAGGATTGGTGCAAGCCAGTAAGATGCCCTTGGAGATGTTACAACCACCCAACGCACTCAACAGGGCCTGGCTGCAGACATCGCCGGCAAACACTTATACATGCCCTCACCCTCCTTCAGTCATGCACACACGGCAGCTACCAGAGCTGGGGCTCCCGGTGGAATGCAGCCGGCAGCTCCTCCAGCAGGCAGACCCCACAGTGTGCACATGTCTGCTGTCTGTCTGTGTGCAGAGAAAGGAAAGGACAGGCAGGTGTCTCACGGCTTCTCCGCACCATTTATTCACCCGCAGGCTGTCGCCTTAGGGCACCCCCCCTCCATGGCTCTGGGGTCAGTGCCACCTCTATCTGTCAGGAAGGACCTCTGGCTTAAAATACGTCTCTCCTTGGGCTCTGGCACTTGACACCACCAGGAAGATCCCCGGGTCACGTCGCCCCTCTCACACCTCTGCAGAAGAAGTCTCTCTCAGCACTGCCTCTCCTGGCCAGGAGACTGGCTGCCTCCTCCTCGCTATTTATAACCACACATCTTCAGTGTCAGAGAGAGAACAGACACTATTTTGAAATGGAGGAAAGCCACCACTCAGCCTTGCACCTTAAGAGGTCGTTGTGTTTGCCAGGACTGGTTTGAGAGCCTGGACAGGCATGTGGGTGCAAGCTTGGGGCCTGGCATCCATTCGGCTGTCTTGCCTTTGAGATGTGGATCTTCCACCTGAGTCAGATGTGGAGCCGCCTGCGCGCAGGCAGGGTTCTCTAGCTTTCTGGGGGTGCACCTGCTGCTCCGAGAGCCAGCCACAGATGGGGTACCCTAAGCTTCCACCCATGTGTCCAGGTGAGCGCTGGCATCTAGCCACCCACACCTGCAGCTCCCATACTGACGGCCTGGGCACGGATGTCCCATCACACGTCTGGGGAATGGGCACATCCTTGGCGACTGGGAGCGGTTCGGAGAACTGGCAACCCGACCGCACCCTTCCTCCCCCAGGTACCTGGCTGAACTCTGCTCAGGGTGCTGGGGATCGAACGCTGTGGCCAAGGGCTCCAGGTAAGGAGTAGCGAAGAAACCCCCAGTTAAAGTGAGCGCAAACCGCCCCTCCGCACTAGGCGGAGTAGCCGACGGGGACCTGAGCACCCTCAGCTTCCCCGCCCGAAAAACAGAACCCATCATTCCCCACGCACACTGGTTCGCTCTCTCGCAACGACGATGCGCTGCACGCAAACGTCCAGGAGATGTGGCTGTGACGAACGGGCTTAGCCAAACATCCTCGGGAGCGCCACGAGAAGAGGGAAAGAGGTCCCTCACCGCGCTCCCACTCGGGTTGCACAAGGCAGCGGAGCAGGGGGCGCTGAGAGAGCGCAAAGCTCGGCCCCCTTCGCCTCTACCTGCTCGGGCCTCGGCACCGAACCAGCCCCTCTGGTGTGGACCCGACCCAGCCAGCGAGGCCAGCGAGGCGCCCGAGGGCTCAACCCAGCCTCGGGCAGTGTTCCGGGCCAGGAGCTCCAGGTCCAGCCCTGGTCGCCTGCCTCCGGGACGGGAAAGCGGCGCGAGCCACCGCGCCCTACCTGCCCGCGCCGGGAGCGCGCCCTCGGCGCTGCGCGCTCGCTGGAGGCGCCAGGCGGCCCAGCTTTGTTCGCAGCCGGGCGGGGGTAACTCCCTTCACCTTTGCGCCCCCTTCCCGCCACCTGACCAGGCTGCCCAGCAGCCCTCGCCGCCTAGCAGCGCCGCCTCTCCTCCGGGAGGGCAGGGCCGGCGCCCGACCCCCGGTCCTCGGCTCTGGCAGGCGAGAGGACAGCGCGAAGCCGGAGGGGCGCGAGCAGTGGCGGCGGCGGAGGCCCCGCGGCCCGCGCGGCTCCCGCCCGCCGCTGCAGGGGGCGCTTACCTGGGTGTCCCGCCGCTGGTCCGCTCCGCCGGCCAGGCGCTGGCAGCGCCCGGCTCCGCAGGGTCTGCCGGGCACCGCGGCGCCGGGAGGCGCGGCCCGCAGGGGCCCTGCCCCACCGGTGGGGCCCGGGGCAGCTCCTGCCCGCTCCTCTCAGCGCGCGGGCCGCTCGGGCCGCCGCACCGGACTCTTCATCCGCGGCCGGGGCGCAGGGCTGGCGGCACTGGCGGGCGTGCCCCGCTCCGGGCGTCCCGCCGAGGCGTCTGCCCGGCCCCCCAGACGCCCAGTCCGAGCAGTCTCGGCCCTCCGACTCTGCGCTCCCCCTGCCGCTGGGAGGGCTCCCTGTTCCGCTCCGGAGACCCCCGAGCCGGGCCGGCAGGGGGTCGGGGTGCGCAGCCTGAGGCAGGCCCTGGGCCCCGGGCGCGGGGTCGAGCCGCCGCCGGCCGTCGCCGAGCTGCGCGCTACTCTCCTGGGCTCGGGACCCGAGGAAGTTTCGGCCCCGAGTTGGCTGCGGGGCGGGAGGCGGCAGAGGCTCGGAGTGCAGGGGCCGGCGCTGGGCGAGCGGATCCCGGGGGCTCCGCCGCCTCCGCCCCGCCTCCTGCGCCTCCTCCCCGCCCCCGGCAGCCGCGCCGGCCCCCAACTCGCTCCTTCCCACCGGCCGAGCCCGCGACGCCCTCCGAGGGCCCCTCCCAGGCGCTGGGACCGTGACCTCCGCACCTGCCTCCCGCCGCGCGCGCTCGCCGGTCTCCCGGCCCCTGGGCCCGGCGGGTCCCGCTCCCTGATGCGGGTACCAGGCCCCCTCACCCGCGCTACACTCCTACCGCCGTCCTCTCCCGGGGCTCCACTCCAGCCTCCTATAGGACCCGCGGTACCCACCCGGGGGTTGGGGCCCCTGGGGCGCCTGCCCACCCTGGGGCCAGGGCGCGGAGAAGGAAGAGTTACCGAGTCCCCCTGGGGGTGTTTTCGCGCGGTTCGTCCTCCTGTGAATCCCCAGAGAAGCGAAGTGACCCGGGGACTGCTCTTGCCACTTTACACACCCGCTCACTCCCGCCTCGTCCTGGCCCCCAGCACAGACCCACGGGGTGGGGGGTGGGCTGGGAAACCTGCCGCGGGAAAGTGCGCGAGTGGAACTTGTCGGCTCTCGACTCTCAACTGTCGTGGGTGAATTCTTCTCCTGATCTTTTGTGTGGAAAACTGAGGCACAGAAGAGCCCAGCTCGTAGTCGCCCAAAGGTTAGGAGTCCAGCGTTTGCCCTCAGTCAGACCCAAGTTCAGGTACTTTGACTGCAGTAGGAGGCCTGTTGGTAGTGCTGCCTCACAGCACACCTGGGGGAGTCGAAGGGAGCTAGCCAGGGTCTCCAGGGAGGCAGAACCAGACCCCAGCAGCAGGCAGCAACCAAGAGCGGCCAGTCCGGCTGGAGGCCTGCCCTCCAACTGCCTTTGCCTTTAATTTCTGGAAACCCCGGTTGCTTCTCTGGGAGAGCAGGCTGCCCTGCTGCAGAAGGTGCCTTTGAATGCAGTGAGGGCAAAAACAATAGCGATAATCAAAGGCTTTGCCTTTTCTTAATTAGTCACCAGACAAGGTGACAGCCACCCCCTTTCAGGGGGAAGGGGCAGCCGTGGGCAATAAGGGGCTATTGTCCTCTGGATTCTACAATAAGGAGAGTGAGAGCTATTTTAGCAAGTGTCTGGATAATTAGAAGACAAGGCTGTCTTGGAGTTGGGCTGTCTTGGAGCAACTTGCCCCACCTCCACATGCGGGGGTGGGGGGGTGGGGGGTGGTGGTGGTGGTGAGAGCAGGTCCTGCAGCCTGGTGGGTACTGGCTGTAGTTGGGAGGGGTGCTGCTTTCGCTGAAGGGAACTAGTGCAAGGCTTTATCTCTGGGGACAGATGAGACAAGGAGTAGAGATGGTCTGAAGCAGGCATAAAAGCTTTGAATCCACTTTGTCTAATTACCAAATAAGTTCAGCATAAAGCATCAGTTGTGGGTTTAGGGTCCTAGTGGGAGGTCAAGGGAAAGCGACCTGGATCATTCCAGAACGCATCCTGGGAGAATCTGCGGATCACTTCACACACACATTGGTTGCACCCTTAACACAGCAAGGCGACCTGAGACCAGTTCCCACCTGCAGGAAACTTCAAGTCTAAAAGAACAGGTGTGGGGAGACAGCGCCTCTCTCCTGTGAAGTCCAAAATGAGCATGGCTGACTTTGCTGTTCCCAAGCCAGCAAGCCAGGAGGAGAGCAGGTGACCGAGGACAGTGGCCCTGGCACTGTCCTGCAAGTTCTCCATCTTCCACTGTGTCCAAGATGAGGCAAAACTGTGGCACATGGGGAAACAGGGGAGCTGCAATGACCCTCCCACCCCACCCTGGAAGGAGCTTATGACTTAGCAGCTGGGAAACCATTTGAAGCAGGAGATGCAGAGCCACGGGCTGGATCCCAAGGCCATAGCTTGGGGCCCCGAGCTGCTGCAGAGTCTACCTCCAGCTCTGGAGGTGAGGCTGATGTGCGTGACTGCTGCCTGGGGTCTCTGGGCTCATCTCCCAAATACAGCATAACCAATCTGGCATTTGTGATTCAAAAGGCAGGAGGAGGGGGCTGGTGCTGTGGCTCACTAGGTTAATGCTCCGCCTGCGGCCCCGGCATCCCATATGGGTGGCGGTTCTAGTCCCGGTGGCTCCTCTTCCAGGCCAGCTCTCTGCTGTGGCCCGGGAAGGCAGTGGAGGATGGCCCAAGTGCTTGGGCCCTGCCCCACACGGGAGACCAAGAAGAAGCACCTGGCTCCTGGCTTCGGATCAGCGCAGCTCAGGCCGTTGCAGCCATCTGGGGAGTGAACCAGCGGATGGAAGGCTTCTCTCTGTTTCTCTCTCTCTCACTGTCTATAACTCTACCTGTCAAATTAAAAAAAAAAAAAAGGCAGAAGGAGGATGAAAGAGAAGAGGAAGAAGGAGGGAAGGGTGTGGAAAAGGAAGATGAAAGAAGAGAAGAGGGGAAAAGGCTATTTGGCCTCATGGACGTGTTTGAGGATTCCTGCTCCATTCATTGCACACACTGTTACCCTGTCCTGTTCATGCCTGCACAGGCCACCTCCTACACCAGAAAGCCAATGGTGACTTTCCTGTGGGGGGAACACATGGGGCTGACCTCTAGCTCTCTGGCAGGGGCCTCGTGGGTCAACAGTCCCCCTTCACCATCCCAGAGGTTCCGGTAACTCTGCTGTCCCAGCTGCTGCTGGTGGCGGGGGAAGGCTTTTGCAGCAGGCGCTCCTCCATTCCATCTGGTCTGCAAAGGGTTTATTTGGGATGCACTGAGAGTTTCTTGGGGTATCAGCCTGATGAGCCTTCCAAGGCCAGAACAAGGCTGAGAGGCAGAGTGAGCCCCGTTTGATCCCAGCTGCATGCGTAAGCACTTGAGTCCTAATGCCTGTGTTACTCAGCGTTTACTGTGTGTGTTCTGGATGCAACGTAGAAATCACTGTTTATCTAAGAATGAGGGCTTAACAAAGTGGATAGGATCTGCACCAAATTCCCAGAGATCATCTGTACATTACCCCATGCCTGCCCCCCCCCCCACATTCACTGTAGCTGAGATGATGTGGGACGTCGGATCAGGGGGATTCTAAAAGCTGAAGGCCGCAGTGCAGCTGGGAGAAATCCATGCTATGTGAGTTCTCATCGGGTTTTGCTGTTTACCTGTGGGGGTAAGTTCACAATGAGAGGCTAGGAACAGGAAGAAATGTGCCTTAAAGCAGAAGGAGGACTAAGTGACTGACAATTTCTGAGACCTGAGCGGTGCCTAGATCTTCTCAGTTTATAAACGCCCTTTCTGGGGCTGGTGCTGTGGCATGATGGTAAGGCCACCACCTGCAGTGCCAGCATCCCGTATGGGCGCCGGTTCGAGTCTCAGCGGCTCCACTTCTCATCCAGCTCTCTGCTATGGCTTGGGAAAACAGTGAAAGATGGCCCAAGTTCTTGGGCCCCTGCACCCGCGTGGGAGACCCGGAAGAAGCTCTTGGCTCCTGGGTTCAGATCAGCCCATCTCCAGCCATTGTGTCCATTTGGGGATGAATCAGTGGATGGAAGACCTCTCTCTCTCTCTCTCTCTCTCTCTCTCCTCTCTCCTCTCTCCTCTCTCCTTTCTCTCTGCCTCTGCTTCTCTGTAACTCTGCCTTCTAACTAACTAACTAAATAAATCTTTTTTAAAAATTGATTTATTTGAGAGAGAGAGAGCAAGGGAGCATTCCTATCCTCTGTTTCTCCCCAGATGCCTGCAGCAGCTGGGACTGGGCCCAGAGCTGGAACTCCATCCAGGTCTCCAGTGTGGCTGGCAGAGACCCAACTGCTTGAGCCGTCACCTGCTTCCCTGGGTCTTCATTGGCAGGAAAGTGGAATCAGGAGCCAGAGCCAGAGTTGGGAATCAAAACGAGGTTCTTCAGTATGGAATGTGGGCATCTCAAACGCTAGGCCAGATGCCTGCCTCTAAATCATTTAATTATTACTTCAAGTAGACATGACTGGATTTTTTGTCTGTTGGATCTAATTTAGTCTCCATTTTTGAGCTCCTGGATTCTAATCCCTACTTTTTCTCCTAAGAGAAAACAAAGCCCTGAGTTGTTTCCTTAAAGAATTACGTCTTTCCAAATGTCTAGAATAGAGCAGCTGAAGATGTCACTGAAAACTGGCAAAATCTGCAGACACTGGCAGATGCGGATGGGATGATTTCCTACATTTCATCGATATTACCTTTCAGGGCCCACAGAGAGAACATGGGAGGTGTCAATGGATGGGGCCAATTAACAAACTGCTCAGGGACCAGTGCTGTGGCGCCGCAGGCAAAGCTGTCCCCTGCAGTGTCAGCATCCCATGTGGGTGCCGGTTTGAGTCCAAGCCACTCAACTTTCTATCCATCTCCCTGTTAATGCACCTAGGAAAGCAGTGAAGAATGGCCCAAATGCTTGGGGCCCTGCACCTGTGTGGGAGACTTGAAGAAGCTCCTGGCTCCTGGCTTCAGATCTGCTCAGCTCTGGCCATTGTGGCCATTTATAGACTGAACCAGCAGATGGAAGACCCCTCTCTCTTTCTCTGCCTCTGCCTCCCCTTCTCTGTAACTCTGCCTTTCAAATAAATAAATAAATAAATATTTTAAAA